GCTGAAATTTCTCTGGTAGGTGTATTTGAGCATGGGCCACCCGAATATGCAACAACGTTCAGGTTTTTCGATGCTTTTCCCTACGCCTATAGGGATCCATGCGCTTCGTTACCATTTGTCAGCAGACACAGCCGTCATCGCAGGCGCCGAACTTTTCTGTGCGCACGAACCAAGCTGAAATTGCTCTGGTATGTGTATTTGAGCATGGGCCACCTGAATATGCAACAACATTCAGGTATTTCGATGCTTTTCCCTACGCCTATAGGAATCCATGTGCTTCGTTACCATTTGTCGGCAGACACAGCCATCATTGCAGGCGCCGAACTTTTCTGTGCGCACGAACCAAGCTGAAATTGCTCTGGTAGGTGTATTTGAGCATGGGCCACCCGAATATGCAACAACATTCAGGTCGTTCGATGCTTTTCCCTACGCCTATAGGGATCCATGCGCTTCGTGACCATTTGGCGGCAAGCGGCGCGCGGGCAGGGCAGGGCGCGCGGCGGCGAGTAGCGCGCGGGCAGGGCAGCGCGCACGGCGGCGAGCGGCGTGCGGGCAGAGCGACGCGGCGCGGCGGCGAGCGGCGCGCGGGCAGAGCAGGGCGCGCGGCGGCGAGCAGCGTGCGGGCAGGGCAGGGCGTGCGGCGGCGAGCGGCGCGCGGGCAGGGCGACGCGGCGTGGCGGCGAGCGGCGCGCGGGCAGGGCAGGGCGCGCGGCGGCGAGCAGCGCGCGGGCAGGGCGGCGCGGCGGCGAGTGGCGCGCGGGCAGAGCAGGGCGCGCGACAACGAGCAGCGCGCGGGCAGTGCAGGGTAGGGCGTGCGCGGGCAGCGCGACGCAGGGCAGGGTAGGGCAGCGCGGCGCTAACAGGGCGGCGCGACGTGTGGGGTAGCGCGATTCGGTTGGCCCTAAAAAAATCGGTCCTAGGCTAGGACCTGCTCTGAAACCATGTCAGCAGAATGAACGAGAATGAATTGAACTAGCAGCATGCAGGAGTACAAGTAGCAAACGTTAATTGGGTTGTACCCCATATGGGCACTACAGCCTACACAACATGCAGCATATAAGTTTGACATGTAGTAGTCCGTCGCTGACTCCTGCTCGCCCATCCGGGGGTGGGTCAGTTGCTCCTCCAGCTGACCGATGTACAGATCGTCCGTCGCCTGATACGTTGACAGGATGAACCGCCACGCCTGGTGGCCAGCGTCCAGTCGAAGTCGACATGACTTCAACGCTATCAGCGCCACCGGCGAGCAGCACTTCGAAATGACCATGAAGGTCAGCAGGTGAGCGGCATGAAACTCCGCGCGTAGCTCGACGTCGTCCACGTCCAGTATCGGCACGTCGTCGTCGGCCAAACCCTTCAGCCTGGCCATCTCCAGCTGAGGCTCGATGGACTCCCTCCACGTGATGAGGTCCCGTTGACCTTGCAGCGGCACTGGCACGGCGATCTTGTCCGGCAAAAATTTGAAGTAGCCATACACCGGTGCGATCCCGCCCGGCGTCACGTGCGTCGTCGACGTGGGCCTCCCACTGCTTTGCTGGGGCGAGCGACGTCGCTCGTCGTCGTCGACAAGCGAGCTCCCTGCAGCCACCGTCGACCGCTGCACTCGCGCCTAGCTCCCGTCGATGCCACCGTCGACAATGATCACACCTTTCTTCTTCGTGCCCCTCGCTTCCGCCGACTCGTTCACAACCGTCGACCTCCTCGTCGACGCCCCCTTCGTTGCGTGCCGGTCGAGGAGATGCAGGTCGGGAAGGGTGCTCCGTCGCCCACTGCGCACGGATGCCCAGCTGAACCACCTCCAAGGGGAGGGTCGGCCCGAACTCGCCAGCCTCGTGGCGTCTCCTCACATCAGTTAATCATGCCTCTAGACTGTCTTCTACCACGCCGGATCCTACTGGGACAGGCGTCATAGTCTGCACAAGCTGCCGGCCTACGAACGACTTAGGTAAGTGAGGAATCGGTTACTAATCTGAAGGTCTCTGCGGGGTCGTCCACACTCACCGCACCATGCGGAGATTCACTCAACAATGGTGGGAGCTAGACTAAGGGGTTGGCACGAGTTGTGAGTGTGATCGTTGCTTTGCCTGCGTTCTCTAGCACTTGCATATTTACGGGAAGAATTGGCAAGAGTTTCACTAGCAAAGTTGGGATTACAGAATGATAGCAATCAAAATGGCAAGAATGACTACATCACAACCTAGCAACCTAGCAGACGCGCATGTCGACTGACAGCGCAACAAAGTCGACAATCTGCCAGCGTTGCGTAGAGGCACCGCGCCAGCACTACAAAAAGGCGACCTGCCAACAGAGCAAGGCGACAAAGCGGCTTGCCAACGCTGCAGCAGAGCGGTCTGCCAGCGTTGGATCCGTAGGTGACAGTGGCGCAAGTGCGCACCTACTTCGCAAGTACGGGGTGACGGTCGAGCACGTTCTCTACCGTCGCGCAGGTGCCAAGTCGGCCACGTGCCGACGATTGCGCCTGACGCTCCACGTCGACCTCGGGATACCTGCCCGAGGTCGCCTCGCCATCGCAACCTCTACGAGCCTCTCGTGCCTCCGCGGAACCTCGTCGAGGTTACCTGGTCGACCCGGTCGACCATCCAGCGCCCTGGTCGATGACCTCCCTCGTCGACCACTGCTCCCGTCGAAGGCCGCCCTGGTAAACGGACACCTCCGTCGACCAGCTTGGTAAGCTGCCGCCGACGAACACCCACCGTCGACGGCCTTTTTTACAGTCCCGTGCAAGTCGACGACTACCTTCGTTGGCCACACCCAAGGCATGTTGACGAACCCCTTCGTCGACCACTTCAGTCGAAATCTGTCGCCGGCTTCCCATCGTCGACGGCTCCGCAACAGTCTCCTGCAGGTCGACCAACCCCGTCGACCTCTGCGAATGGTCGGTCGCACCTCCCGCGCACCCGACCACTACGCCGGCTTCGCCCAAGCGAGGGAGGGGCCAACACCTTATCCTCGTCAACAGTACAGTGTACAGTAATTGGCGTGTGTATCAGAGCACTTTCACACCTGATCGAGGCGGCCATGTGGTCCAAACGACCATATGGTCCCGCCCACATCCCACTGGTCGAGGCAACCAGCCACGAACGTACCAACCTACAGCGCAACCGGTGGTACAATGAAAATTGCGGGCAAGTGACACTGTCGAATCTCGATGCAATTGGTGTACAAAAACAATTATCACCGTTTGGGTCACGCACATTGGCGTAGTAACTATTGGGTATGCCCAAATTTTTATTTGCTTGGTTGGGTCCCGAAAACAGAGGGGTGGTACATTTGCAAGTTGCCTGCTTGGTACCCAACCGCCCACCAGTCGGGGTAGACTTTTATGGGGCGTGCCACCAAAATGAGGGGTATGTAACACGCCCTAAGGAAAATGAAATACGCATGGGCGTTTTCCAGATTGGTGTTACTGTAATGCGAACGAAACCAATGGGGACCGTACCAAACCAATGAGAATAATTGGCCGCGCTCGGGCGAAGATGTGCGAACGGACGGATGTCTGGACGTGAAACAGATCACTTCGGCACAACACAGCATGGCAAGACTCACAACCGCTTTGCACCACGGATTGCGACGGCCCTGGTGTGTGCAAGTGCTTGCCAGTGCATGCACCAGAGCCGTGGTGAGCCGTGATGAGCATGGTGTTTAGGGGGAATTTCTAACTTCGCGTCATCCGGCCCTTGTGTCATCCGAACATGTGGGACCAGCCAAATGTGGCGCGTCGGATGACCCGAAGTCGAGTCGGCAAACATTGGCTCGGGGAAAAATAAATTCGGATGACACGAAGTGCGGATGACACGAAGAATGGAATACCCTTAGCAGTGGTGAGTGGCCCTGATCTGACCCAGCCTTGCCCTGCTGAGGCGTTCTGCACCATGAAGCTGCGCTCCTCAACAGCCCGATTTCTTCACGAACACACGTGTTCCTTTTCCTGTCAATCCAATCGCGTGTTTTGCCCTGCTCCCTCCAACAAGCATCTTCCCTCCAAGAAGCCCGGAAGGATGTGGCTGGCGTCTGGCAGTTCGATGATTGCGCCAGAGTTTATTGGTCTGCTTCGCTGCTCCTTTGACTGCTGGACCGTAGAAGTTGCGGCAGACGGATCAAATACAGTATCGGTTTATCAGAGAGCCTGCACCACAGCATACATGCTCATGTGCACGCGGCTCGTAATATTGTTTTAGGGCCAAACAAAATCCCTTTGCGCAACGTCATGTTAGAGCGGCCCCCACCACTCGCTCTGTCCACGTCATACTGGGTTTCAGCGTGAATGTCATCGCGGGAAGTTTCCAGATTCGCTGCTTTGCTGGATGGAAGGACCAACCACAGCCCAGCCTCACAACATTCATTTCCTATGCTGCCCGTTTGTGTTCTTTTGGGATAGAACTTCCCGCGTTTCTTCCCACCACGACAGCTACACAGAGCTCTTTGCGTCTCAACTATCGCGTGTCAGTGGCCCATGATGGTGCTTTCAGAGTGGAATCCTACCTTTGAACATTTATAAACGGCCAAAGACTATCCGTAACGTTTTGCAAAACGTGGTTGCAACCGCGAACCATGTCAGCCCGTAATCTCCTTGCATGCCCAACATCGTCACGATCAAGGTGTCATCATGCCACGCCATGCTGTCAGGAACACCCCTCCAAGAACCCCATCCATCGGGCAGGGTGCCGTGCAAAGCTGGATTCCCTTGTGGTGTGTGTTGTGGCATGCCCTACACCATTGCCCCAGCTTGAGCTCATCATTTATGCACGCTTCTGCCTCTGGTTGTGTAAATATTTAGTCTACGGCCGCCTAATCATAGGAAACCTAGGTTTGGTTGCGCAGAAGTGTCGTGGTCGTTTGCATAGCCCTGAGTAGCCCTGATCGCGTAGAAGATTGTTTACATTTTTCGCTTTCTCCGTGATCGTCTTCAAATTTTCTCAGCTTCATCAGCCGTAGGACGATCTCTTCAGTAACCTCAAAGGCGCTAAGAAATAATTTGTATGGCGCCATCTATCGTCCTTCAGCGCTCCTCTAGCATCGGGAACTCCTCTGCGTTCCGCGTTGATAGGTATGCGTCAGCGGCTTCATCCTTCTGCTTCTCTTATTTCGTCTAGTCATCCGGCTTGCTTTTCATTGGGACGTGGCAGCATAGCTTTCACGTCTCCGATCCCCCTTTTGTAGAAAAACTGATCCCACTCATTTTGACCCTTTTCTCTGCACTCCCTTCCACTCCCATCCATGTCGCCACTCCCCTCACCTGTCCCATATCTTTATGCAGCGCTAGGAACACGGCATGCAGGTGCGGCACTCGCAACGGTAGCCCCGGCTTTAGTCACAGGCGACGCAGCTTTACTGCAGCCACCGCCAGCATCAGCGTCAATTCCAGCGGCAGCAGCAGCAGTAACTACGGGTTTCTGGGATCGGGCCCCTCGTTTCGTGCGTCGTCTCGCCGTAGCCTCTCGGACCTCGCCTTCTTGGCAAATAACCGTCACCATGAAAACGTTAACGGCAACTCGCGGGGTCCGTGCGTGAGCTGCGCGGCGTTTAACGACGAAGCTGGTCATGAGCATCACATTGAACGCCACGTGGCAGCGAACCAGCTGCGCCAGGTGGAGAGCCAGCCTGGGGCTCAGCTAGCCACGCCAGTCGAGACGGAGGCAGCAGGTGAGGCACGAGCAAAACTCGCCTGACCAAGCAGACTCTAGACGCATCAGTACAGGCTGCGCCGTTTTGTTCCGATAGTATAAACGCTCTTCTCTCCACGACCAAGTCCGCGACCTTAGATCCATGTCTGTTGCTAACATCCTTCCGTCCGCTTCGTGATCTGCTCGCTCTTTACCCTGCTCTGTGCTTGTCTACAGAGGCTGTGCGTGGTGCCAGCGTCGCCGCGTTGTCTGAGGTTAGCGGTTTCGCAGCGCCGGCGTCGCTTTCGCAGGCGCTACTATCGCGCTCCGCAACTCGTACCATCGCCTCTGTGGGCGCGTCGGCCATGACTGCTGCTCGTCTCCGCCCGTCGACCCTGCTCCGAAGTACGTTTCGTTTTTTCCCCGTGTGGTTCTTTCCATTCTCAGATTCGTTTTCCTCCTGTGGTATGTTTTTTTCGCTATTCATTTTCCAACTTTGGTTCTTTGTCGGCGAATGCGTGGGTGCGTGCGACGATCCTGCAGGCAAGGGTGGCGTCGTCATGGCCGTCGCACTGGCTGTCGCAGGCATCGTGACGATGATCAAGTCGCACGACCACCAGCACCAGCTAGAGTACGACGGCGAGGGCGAGGGCGAGGTGTGCGACGAGTGCGGCGGGTACGGGCTGTGCTGCTGCACCCTGTGCGACGGAACGGGAGCTATTCGCTGGGAGGGCAAGTACGACCGCAAGGACCCGTGCCCCGCGTGTGTTGGGGAGGGGTGCTCCAAGGTACGTTCCGCGGACAGATTATGTCGCCGATTGGGCAGAATGTTCAGGGAGCACGGGTTCTGTACGGGACGATGATGTGTCTTGATTTACTGTTCGCTCGAAGTCTTTCAGATCTGCTTCTTATTTTTGTAACGCAGTTCCTCTTGTGTCCGCCCTCTTCTCCCCTCTCCGCTGCAGTGCCCGAAATGCGGCTCGTCGCGCAGGAACAAGGCCGTTCCGCCCATCGTGCTGGAGCGTCGCGTGTTCTAGAAGTGCAAGGACGGAAGGAGGGCACTTGCCAGGCTGTTGTTTCTTGAACCGTGGGCAACGCTCGATTGTAATTATTGCAAGGCAGTCTGGCTCCGCTACAACGACAGGCGGACGGCCTTGCTCAGCTGTCTGGGTTCCGATGGGCCTGGCTGCGACTCAGGGACTCGGGGGTGTTGATAACCGCAGCTTCGCATGGCGTGGTGCAACGATGAGAGATCCGCATGTTGCATTCATTCTGCCTAAGTGGCGGAAACAGCTCGTCGGTTGGCGAAAGACACAGTCTGCTGCTGATGTTCCAAACGATCTTTGGAATGAATCATTTCATGGCCCGCTCAATCGAAGAGGGGGACGCTGGAGACAGAGGCTGCATCCTGCTGCTGCGATTAGGGTGAAGTGTATATACAGCTCTCTGGCTCTCTGCCGTCCACCATATGCAACGTGATACATCTCATCGTCTCTGTTGGCTTCACTACAAGATCTAGAGTGGTAGCTGGTTGAGAAGTAGAACTTGGGGCGTATTGCCGTTATTATGCAAGTTGGATTCAATTGTCTAAAGCAGTCTACCTTGGTATGGTAGTGCTAGTATTCTGTGTAGAAGCAACTGAGTGTCAGGTCTGGTGGCGCTTATTGTTACAAACTCACGTAGGGGCATGGCTGCTGCAAGTCTGAAACTCGCAAATCATTATGCGAAATGTGGTAAACAGGTGTGTGCATCAGATATGGAATGGCATGTGTCTTGTAACTGCCAAAAAAAGTGGTCCTGCAACTGCTGGAAGTGAGTAGAAATCAGCTAGTGGGTATAGACCATTTCAAAACATAGGGTTGTTTGTTGTGATGAACTTGAACAAAGATAACATGTAGAAGCGATAAGAAACTGTTACATGTATGACGCGAAGGCAGTGTGCGAGTGCTAGCATGAGTTCTGTTTGATTGTTGTGGAAGATTCGTCGTCCTGAAATTTGGGACGACGTGGCCTTGGTCATCCAGCTAATTGACAAAGTGCCCTCACTTTGAGGAGATGACCCTCAAGAATAGGGAGCTCGGAAAGGAGGCACCGATGACCAACCAATCGCTTGAGAGTCAAGCTGACACAAGGGTGGCGTCGCATAACATTCCACGAACAAGCACATATAAATCCCTCTCGATCTTGGGAAACATACCCCAGACCCAACTCGATTCTTTGCAAATGAACCATTCACGAGACTCAAATGACGGCTGAACGACAGAGCAGGGTCCACCGTGGAAAGGCACGACTCGTACCTTAGCCGTTGATTTCCTTCTGCTCCCGCTGACGGGCTACCCACAGAAGCCTTGAGGTTTGCGTCGAATTTGCGTTGCCCTTGTGATGTGTGTCATTGCCTGCATGCCTTCCTTCTTGCCTGCCATCAACATGGGACGCATGCGCTGGCATGGCCAGATTGGTGTACGCTGCGTCACCCATGCCACATGGGCCATGGATGGGTTATTTGGGTTATGAGTTGGTCTCCTCATTGCTGAGTGTGGAATCGCATTGTCCTTCCTTCCTCCGTCGCCCGCATTTTCCTCCTCTTCGCCCTTCTCGAAGCAGCACCCGGTTCTTGAAGAACTTTGGAGAGCCCCATTTTGCCTGCTCAGAGAGATGCTCTCGTCTTTTCTCGTTACAACCATTCTTGGGGTCACATATCGCGCTTCTCCCCTGCTCCCTCCACTTCCTTGCCCACCCAACGCTTGTTTGACGGTCTTGGAATTCTCCATTCTTTTCCGTCCGTCCGTCCGTTCCGTGAATTCCGTGTTCTACCAAACTCAGCTGCTCGAATATTCCGCCTCGTCGTCGTCGCCATGCTGCTCGATTCAGCGACAGCGGCAGCTCTCCCGTCGTCAGCTACCTGCGCCACTTCCCCCGCTCTTAACTCAGCGTCGCCGTCCGCGGCTTTTCTCCGCGCACCTCCTCCCGCCACACCGTCGTCATCATCATCATGGATCCGCCCTCGGGTCCATCCCATGCAGCCCCATCTGCGCTCTCTTCGCTCCGCCACTCCCTTTCTCGATCCGATTAGTCGCCGCTGTCTGCGGGTAGCCGTGGATGTGGGCAGTTCTCGCCCGACGGGCGATCGTCCCGTGTCGCCACGTCAGCATGGCAGTGAGAGTGAATCCGACGCTTCTGCCAGGTCGGATGAGCCTGGTGGCAATCGAACGGCTGAGAAGGGTTCGCGATTCACGGGATCTGAATCTGAATCAACGCGTGCCGAGGGTGTGCACGTTGCTGGGACGAACGGAAGCCGTCGATCTGTGGCCGCATCCAACGGATCGAGCAAGCACGTCGCGAGTGAGGGACCGATGGAATCCTGGACTGCTACTAACGGGGATGAGCAGCGCGCGGCGGGTTCCAGCGACTGGGTCTCGCCAGCGAAGCCCAAGGAGCAAGACCGCCGCTCCAGCGGACTCGGAACAGGTTCGTCAGAAACATGCCAAGTGAGCGTTCTGCGTGCTTCATTAGCTGCGTACCTGCCAGTTACTAGTCTGATCATTTGCACGGCCTAACAAATGAACAGATGTTTGTACTGTGCACAAGCCACGGTATGTCTTCTTCTGGTCTGTCTTTTTCCTCTCACTTGATGCTGGACTTTGGATTCTGGAAAATATTTCGCGAGTTTGGATGAGAGACTGTCCGCCAGGGGAAACGGAAAACGGCGTTGCGCGCGCCTGCTATCAAAGCCCCCTCCACAATTTCCCTCCGAACTTTCTCTCTTATGTAGGCCTCCTTCCCCTCCCCCCCGCTCCCTCCCGCTCTCTCCCGATCGCTCCTTCCACCCACACTCTCGCCTGTCCATCTCTCCCATTCTCCCTCCGTCTCTCCCTTCCCCCGCCTCGCATTTCGCCACCAAGGTTTTTCTCCCCATTCTACGCCTTCCCCTCTATCCGATCGTGCTCTGGGCAGGCGTGACGGACCTAGCAGCGGGCTTCATCGTGTGTGTGGGAGTGGCAGCCATGGCCTTCATGGGGTTCAAGCGCCAGGGTACTTCCCTCTTTTCCTTTTTATAAGTTCGACTCTCTTCACTGTACTATCCCAATCCATTTCTCATCCTTCGGGTCGCCTCACCCTGAATAAACCCTCTCTGTCTCAGTTTTTCTTAGCTCCTTTTTTTCCATTTAACTCATATTGCGCCTACCTGCTGTCGTCTCCTATCCCACAGCAGCTCGCCTCGCGCCATCCGTGCAGCATCAGCCTCCTGCCACTACGGTCGTCGTCAGTACTGCAGTCACTGCAGCTGTCGCTACTCCAGTCACTACCCCCGCTGCCAAACCTGCCACCGTGTCAGATGCCAAGCCAGCAGAAGCAGCCAAGATATCGCAAGCCCCTGCTGACGTGGCGCAGTCATCATCCACTGAATTGACCGCTGACGTGGACAGTGGTGTTGCTACAGGTGCACACACCCTGGCTGCACCTGCACCAGAAACCACCTCTGTTGCTGGCAAGGACGCTCCTTCTGCTTCTCATCTGCCGTCTGCTGATTCTGTTTCTCCTGAGGCAGTGTCAAATCCTGCATCTATGCTTGCTGCTGACAAGCCAGCCCTTGACCCAGAGGGTAAAACCCCTGGTGCGGCCGGCACCACTGCAGCGGCAGTGGATTCTGTGCCTGCTGCATCCAAACCAGCTGAAACGGCAGCACTGTTAGCAACACCGGCTGAAGCAACAGCAGCACCAGCACCAGCATCGGCATCAGCACCAGCTTCGAATGAAGCAGCAGCAGCAGCAGCCCTTGAAGGTATGAAAGAAGAAGCTGCTGCTGTAGCCCCCACTCTGGGCGATGCAGTACGTGCTGCAGCGCCAGCTGCTTCAGTCGCTGATGCAGCTGCTCCAGTTGCACCAGCTCTGTCGCCCGCCACTGACACCACTCCAGCAGATGCTGCCAATGAACAACTCGTTCCTCCGCCTCTGCCTGTTGCTGTTCCCGTGCCGGTGCCTGTGACTGAAGGAGCAGTGCAAGTGGTGGAAGCGGCAGGGACAGGAGGCAGTGGCAGCGGCACGGATGTGGGAGTGTTATCGAAGGAGACAAGCAGCATGAGTGCAGAGGTGTGTTGCAGTGGTGTTGATCTCTCTTTATGCTTGTGACCTGAAGTGCTTGTGTTAATTTTTTTCTCCTTGATTTGAGGGGCATGACGTGTGCTCTGGCGCATTTGGGACCTGCTTGCTCTTGTTGGTAGTCTGTTTTGAGCTTCACTGTTGTAGTTTTCTAGCATTTGGGGGGGTTGGGGTTCGGGGTTTTGGGCTGCAAAAACTTCTGTTGCAATCTTTTGAGCGGTTGCAGCCTCATGTTTTAAGCATTGACATGCATGCTCTCATCTAATGCGCGCCTCCACATCCCCCATGCGCTGCAGCCCCCGGGCATGGCATGGCACAGCATGAAATTGAGCGCATGGATGAAACTTCAAACTTCAGTCTAACTTCCTCCCTGTTGGGGGATCCTGATGGATGCAGGTGCAGGAGGAAGGTACAAGCGATGCAAGGGGAGAGTTGATGGATGGGAAGGAGACAGCTCCTGCACCTGCTGCTGCAGGTGCCGTTTCTTCTGCCAAAGATTATTCTTCCCCTGCTGCTACTGGTGCGACTGCAGCAGCCTCTGATGGTGGTGGTGCCGCTGCTGCTGATGCGAGCACTCATACCCCTGTGCTTGCAACACACTCGGCGCTTGAGTCTCATGCCAATGCAGACAGTCCCAGTCTAGAGGAACAAGTAGAGTCCATTGCGTTCGATGTGGCCTCTTCTGTTGCCGCTGCTCCTGCCGATGCAGCAGCTGTAGCTGTCGTTGCAATAGCAGATGCCAGTGCTGCTGCCGCCGCCGGCCCCGCACTGCCTCTCCCGACGAAGCATCATGACTCTCAAGTGCTTACCACGAAGGATCTCCTCCCCTCGCACGCATCTCCAGCGGCCTCTGAAGCTGTCTCTTCCCTTACTTCACCGGATTCCGCCCATTCTTCTGCTGTGCACGCTGCTGCGGCAGATAAGGCTGCTATGGCGGCTGAGTCTGCAGAGGCAGAGTCTGCCAAGCCAGGTGAGTCTGCTCCCTTGCCGCTCGCGAGCACAGCAGCTCTAGAAGCAACGGTGGTTCCGGCAGCAGCAGCAGGGAAAGCAGCAGCGCTTGAGGCAGCCGTGGGGGGAGCAACCGCAGGTGAAGCAGCAGTGCCAGAAGCCCTGCCAGCAGTGCGAGCTGCAACGCCAGAGGCAGCGCCAGCAACAGTGGCACCAGCGCCAGCAGAAGCGCCAGCAGCAGCAGAGCCATCAGTAGCAGCAGTGGTAGCGGAGATGGAAGAGGCGGAGGCGGTGGAGAAGCTGTCACCGTTTGAAGACGCTGTGGAGCAGTTCGAGGCGAGTGAGGAGGAGGGAGTTGCGGCACCAGTGCTGGCAGCAACAGGTGCTCCACATACTAGCGTGGCGGCAGCAGCGGCACCAGCAGAAGCACTAGCGGTAGCACCAGCACCAGAAGCAGCAGTCCCATCAGAGGTAGCAGGTGGTGTCACTGCCACTGTTCCAGGAGCTTCAGCACTGACAGCGACTTCTGGTGAAGGGAAGGGGGGGGAGAGGGAGAAGGAGGGGACAACGAGGCAAGAAGGAGGAGGCAGCGGTGGAGGAGCAGTGAGTGCGGTGATGGGCGGTGTGAAGGAGTGGTGGGAGAGGGTTGCAGCGAGCGCGTTCGTGCCTGCGCCTGTGAGCGCCGTGTCGTCTAAGCTAGCTGGTGTGGCAAAGAGTGTGGGCGGAACCGGTGGGGCTCAGAACCAGCAGCAGCAGTGGAAACTGCAGCAGCAGCAGCAGGAGGAAGACGTGCAGGGGCAGCAGCAGGGGAGAGCGGCGGGGCAGAGGGTGGTGGTGAGAGCAGCGGCGGACGCAGGGCAGCAGCAGGCCGTGCAGGACCTGCAGTTGCTGGGGGTAAGTGGGAGATGGAAAGGGGAGGGTGGTTGCAGATGAGGGTATGTGATGTGAGTAAGGGTGAGGTAAGGGAGAGGAAGCAGGGTGATGGAGGGGGGTGTGGGAGTGTAAGGATGGGGAGGGAGCAGAATGGGTGAAGTGAGAAGCGTAGGAAAGGTGTGGTGTGAGGAAGAGATGAATTACGGGAGGGGGATGTTGCAGCCTAGAGATTGCTTTGTGTCTGGTTTTAGTAGAAGAAAGCTTTCCGTTGCAGTAAGGAAGGAACCAGGACACCACTTTTGTTACCGTCTCACATCCCCATTCGCTACATCTCGCTTTCTGTGTGTCCACGTGTCAACAGGTGATTGAAGGCCACGTGGACGCATCTAGCATCTGCAGTCGAAGGGAGTTTGCACGATGGCTCGTCCATGCCTCCAACGCTCTTGCCAGGTACTATACCGTACTGTACCATACTGAACGGTACCGTACCCTGCGTACCTCCAAAGACTCGCTTCCCGGTACCTTCTAATACTGTAAAAGTCGATCAGTCTGTTTCCATTCCGAATTGAAAATATGCATCCACTTCCTCCTGCCTCAAAGTGACCCAGCGTACAGGGTCCAGCAAGCCATGCTCATGTTGGCCTCCTCAAGAACCATCCCGCTTTCGTCTTCCCTCCTGTCCCGTCCCAGCCCTTCCGCTCTCCCCCCACTGGCAGTGACCCAGCAGCGTACAGGGTCCAGCCAGCCTTGTACGTAGACGCCGTTTCCACGCCTCCAGGATTCGTATATCACACCTCTCTTTCAATCTCCCTCTTGTCCCGTTCCCCCCCACACCACACACACAGTGACCCAGCGCATAGGGTGCAGCCAGCCATGTACGTAGACGGCATGTCCACGCCTCGAGGATTCTTCTATCCCACCTCTCTTTTGATCCCCCTCGTGTCCTCTTCCTCCCATCCCTTCTCACCCCGCAGTGACCCAGCGCACAGGGTGCAGCCAGCCATGTACATAGACGGCCTGTCCACGCCTGCCTTCGATGATGTGGGGCCTCTAGACCCGGACTACGCCGCCATACAAGGTGCGGAATAAGTGCTTGCTCATCACGTCGTGAGCTTTCAGACGACTCAAAAATCGCCTGCATTCGATAATGTGGGGCCAGCCTCAAGACCCTGACTACGCCGTCATCCAAGGTGCGTCGTGTGCTGCTGGTCATGTCAGTCTTGAGCTGACTCGCTCGTAAGCTGACCTACTGGGTGGGGCCAGCTTCTGGACCCCCCCCCGACTATACCGCCATTCAAGGTGCGGGTTACACTCTCACGTGTATCATCTTGCTACTCCCATTCCTCTGTTCATCGGTCATCCTCTCACGTGAATGACTCATGTACGGTGTACCATTCATTTTGTCTGTGCGCTCTCATTTCCTCTCTCTTCCCTACCTGTCTGTGCGCTCTCATTTCCTCTCTCTTCCCTACCTGTCTGTGCGCTCTCATTTCCTCTCTCTTCCCTACCTGTCTGTGCGCTCTCATTTCCTCTCTCTTCCCTACCTGTCTGTGCGCTCTCATTTCCTCTCTCTTCCCTACCTGTCTGTGCGCTCTCATTTCCTCTCTCTTCCTTTCCCCACTTGCCCACTCCCTCCCTTTCCTTGCTCCCCCAGTTCACCCACCCTCAACCTCGCCCCCTTCCATGCAGGTCTAGCTGAGGCAGGGCTGATCTCCAGCAAGCTATCCTTCACGGACCTTGGCTGCCCCCGCACTGCCTTCCCATGCCTGCTCCCACGCCACCCTCGCCCTCCTCTTCTCTGCCTCGTCCTCCCATCCATGCAGGTCTAGCTGAGGCGGGCCTTATTTCCAGCAAGCTATCCTTCACGGACCTTGGCTGCCCCCGCGCTGCCACCACTACATCTGCTGCTCAATCTTCCGAATCCTCTCAGTCGTCTGCTGCCGGCGCTGCCGGTGCTGCTGGCACTGCTGCGTTCCGCGCTCGTCCGGGGTGCAACAGTGGCAGCGGCGCTCTCTTCCACCCAGACAGGTGCGGCACAGTGCTGCTTTCAGGGGTTAATGGTCAATGGTCAGTGGTTAATGGTCAATGGTCAATGGTTCTTCTGAAATCGTTAACACCTTCCAAGGGCTCTGTGGTCCAACATTCCACCACCCGCGTCCGCATTTCCCTTCCTTCTATCGCGTATTATTATCACACTTGTCCTATTCCTTCTCAAAATCCTCTCAAATCCCCCCCCCCCCCCCCCCGCCCGCACACACCCCCTCTCGTCCCCCTTGGCGCACCAGGGTGCAGCAGCGCGTTGTCCCGGCAGGACCTGGTGTCACAGAAGGTGTATTTTGAGGCGCCTCAAAATACACCAGGGTGCAGCAGCGAGTTGTCCCGGCAGGACCTGGTGTCACGGAAGGGGTGCTGAACCTTTCTGATTGTTCTCCAAAGTGCGTCAAGGTTGCCAGTGTCTCTCCTTTACACGCCTGCACCCCTTCTCCCCCTCCCCTCCTCTCCCCTCTCCTCCCCTCCCCTCCCCTCCCCTCCCCTCCCCTCCCCTCCCCTCCCCTCCCCTCCCCTCCCCTCCCCTCCCCTCCCCTCCCCTCCCCTCCCCTCCCCTCCCCTCCCCTCCCCTCCCCTCCCCTCCCCTCCCCTCCGCTCCCCTCCCATCTCCCCTAACCCCACCCCTCCCACCACGGCACAGCGCGTTGACGAGGCAGGACCTGGTGTCATGGAAGGCAGCTCTGGACTCGGTTGTGCAGCCGCACGACGTCTCCATGCTCGCTCACCTCTCTTCTCAGGTGGGTGACTGGACGGATGGGTGTTCGGTGTGGCGGTCAGGTGGGCGGGCGGTCGAGTGGGTGGGTGGGTAGGTGGGTTTGTGGGCGGCGCACACAAGGTGTGTAAGCAGCACGGGATGAGAGCTGCAATGCATTGTGTATGATGGAACAACCAATGAGGTGCCTCAGATTCTGTTGCGCATTGTACGAGCGATGCTTTGTTAACCCGCGTCTGCAGCCCTCAGCCACTCATGCTCTAGCTCTGGCCCCTCCTTTCCAAAGACCATTATTTCCTCCTTGCCCCTCCCTCACTGACGCTCCCTGTCCCTTCTCCCACATCTCTTCCCCCCCTTCCCCTCACCTTTCTTGCACTTCAACCGAAATACAAGCCAGATGCGACCTAGCATTACTCATCGCCCCACCGCTTCCCTTATCCATCCTCTCCTTCACTCCTGTCCCCTATCACCAGCCACCGCCATTCATAGACATGGATCGAATCGACCCTGATGCTCTCCCGGCCGTGCTGTTAGACGCAGCAAAGCGTGATACCAGCAGCAGCAACAGCAAGAGCAACAGCGGCAGCAGCGGTGGCGGCGGCGGTGGAATAGTGACGACAGCCTTTGGGTTCACGCGCCGATTCGACCCACAGAAGCCTGTGACACGCGGCCAGGCTGCCATCGCGCTGGCTGCTGCAGGCGAGGGGCGGGAGCTAGTGCGAGAGGCGGTGGGGAGAGCGAGAGCAGAGAGAGCTGCTGCTGCTGCATTGGAAGCAGCGCAGGAGGAGGCGGAGAGGAGGCAGAGGGAGGCAGTGCGTGAGATGGTGGAGAGGGATGAGATGGTGGGGGAGGAGAGGCGGGTGAGGGAGGCGGTGGAGGAGGCAGGGGAGGTGCTGCGGGTTTCTGCAGAGAGGATTGTGGGGGAGTTTGAGCAGGAGAAGGTGAGCGCGCAGGGAGGGTGGGTTTTGAGTCCACTCAAAAGTCACTTCAGTCGACTCAAAAGAGGTGCTGCGGGTTTCTGCGGAGAGGATTGTGAGGGAGTTTGAGCAGGAGAAGGTGAGCACTTTAGAAACGACTCAAAAAGAAGGTGAGCACGCGGTGGTGACTTTTGAGTCGACTCAAAAGTCACTTTCCGTAGAGAGGGTTGAGAGGGAGTTGGAGCAGCAGAAGGTGAGTTTTGAGACGTCTCAAAAAGGTTTCTGCAGAGAGGATTGAGGGGGGGGGTTGGAGCAGGAGAACGTGAGCATGCGGGGAGGGTGGCGAGGTGGGACATATGTGGAGGTGAGTGTACTCTTGTTTTTTCTCTCTTTGTTGCTCTTCTCCTTGTTCCCTTCTCTCGTCCCGTTCTCCCCACTCCCCACGCTTTACTCCCTGCACTTCCCCATCTCAGCTACGTAAACTCTTTTGGCAGCTGGCTGGATTCTCAAACCCTCGCCTCTACTTCCTTCTCTCGCTCGCTTTTCTCCCAAACGGTCTGTATTAACGGTCTTCTCTTTATTTCACTCTCCCTGCCTGCTTTCTCCTCAAACCCCCCACACCCAGGCGTCCATCCTTGAGTTAAAGGCCTCACTGCAGGAGCAGCAGCAGCAGGCGGAGAGGGAGAGGCAGCAGCAGCAGCAGGCAGCAGCATCGGTGCAAGAGCGGGTCGAGCAGGAGATGCAGGCAGTGCGGCAGCATTGGGATGAGGTGCAGGGAATGCTGAGACAGGCAGAGGAGGCAGCGGAGCGAGCGAGGGAGAGGGAGAGGGAGGTGCAAGGGGAGAAGGAAGCTCTAATGAAGGCGAGGTGAGTTACTGTCTTTGAAGCGGCATGGTTACACAGGGGTAGGTGAGACTCGTGGGACGGAGGGAGGGAGATTGCAGAGTAGTGGAAGGACGGACGGGATGGGAAATGGGTGTGGAGGTAGAAAAGGAAGGGAGAGAGGGAGAGAGGGGAGGACAGGGGGAGGAGAGCTAAGAGGAGTAAAGAGTGGAACGAGAGTGAGAGAAAGGGTTTTTCCGTATTATTATTATTACTGTTGTGCGGTCGGCTGGTCTTGTCTGATTTGTGTCACCCAAGTCATGCAACCTCAGCTAAGTTTCTTTCTCGTCTAGTTCTCAACAAGGCCTCTGATTGCCTATCTCATCGTCACTCAGATTTTCAAGTCCTCTCTACCCCCCCCCCCGCCTCTTTCCACTTCACACCCCCTTGCTGGAACGAAATCCATGTCATTCCTGCTGTGCGGTGGACTTGTCTTTAATGTGAGACATCCGTCGTCCTTGTGTTTCTCGGATGCCCACTTTCATTCTGTCTGCAGGGTTGAGGCGGAGGCAGAGCTGGTGGTGGTGAGGGCAGCAAGTGAGCGAGTGCAGCAGGCATGGCGGGAGGTGGCGGAGAGGGAGAGGGAGGTGCAGAGGAGGGAGGAGCAGGAGAGGGAGAAGCAGCATATGCTGCAGATGAAGATGCGAGACGAGGAGCAGCAGAAGCAGCAGCAGCAGCAGCAGCAGCAGCAGCAGCAGCAGCAGCAGCAGCAGCAGCAGGAGGAGAGGAGGGAAGGCCAGAAAGCGAGGACAGAAGAAGCAGGGGCAGCAGGATTTACGAGCGGCGCAGCTGATGCTGATTCAAACAGCAGCCCTGCTGATCCTTCCAGCGGCTTCTCTTCATTCATCAACGGCCTCATCTCCCTCTCGCCCTTCTCCCGCGCCCACCCTCCGCTCGACCCCATACCTGCCTCCGTGGCCGCGCCCGTTGCCGTGGACCCAAGCGAGTGGGGCGTGAAGGTTGCAGCTGAAGCAGCACACCGCAGCACAGCCGCTGCTGCTGCTGCTGGCTCGGCCACTGCTACTGCCAATGCAACAACTGCCGAGGGTACTCGTGAGAGGCGTGGAGATGGCAGGGCTTTTGAGCGCTCGGATGAGCAGGAGGATACTGCGGGGACGGCAGCATGGGGAGGGTTGAAGGAGAGAGGTGTGGATCCAGAGGCTTGGAAGGCTCGTGCTTCGGAGCTGGTTCAGCCTGTGGGGGAGAGAATGCGCGAGGCTGTGAGGGCTGCTGAGAAGGGTTGGGAGACGATGGGGGAGAGGGTGGAAGGGTTGAAAAAGGAGGTGGGTGTGGCTCGTATGCAGGTGGAGGTTGGTAGGGCTGCGGGCGAGGCAGTGGCGAGAGGGAGGGGAATGGTGGAGGAGGGGAGGAGAGCGGTTGAGGAAGGGGCGAAAGCGGTGGGAGGTGCAGGGGTAGTGGTGAGGGAGAGGGTTGGGGAAATGGTGGAAAAGGGTGGGGATAAATTGAGTGAGGTGGTGCAGAGTGGAGGGAAGAAAGTGGAGGAGATAAAGGGGAAGGTGGGTGGTGCTGTGGTGGAGTTGAAAGGTGTGGTGGAGGAGGCATGGAGCAAGATGGCAGATGGTGGGGGGGAGGGTGATGCTAGGGGGAAGAGTGGGAGTGCGAGTTAAAACAATCTAAGCTTGGCTTGTAGCGGGGTATTTTTGGAGGGTTTATTTTACATGGAGAGGTTTTTTTGGTGATGCATTGTGTATCCGTGGTTCGATGAATCGGTTCTATAAAATAAAGCTGTTTTGACAACATTAAGCTCATATACGGTATCCTTGTTTTACATACGGTATTGACTTCCATGCTGCTACCGTACTACCTCTAAATTTAGGAATGTGGCCGCTGAACCAGTTGACAATGAGTGGTGTTAAAGTAGGAACTTAGGATGATAGGAGGTTTGGAGCTAAGGGGGAGCATGGCGATGGTATCGAGAGGGTTGAGAAGGCCAAAAAAGAGGATTCAATATGAGAAAAGGGATACAAGATATAGGCTAGGAGAAGGCAATTGTGTGCACCACCTAGAGCAAGTGAGATACACTACAGTCTACACTACAGACAGTTATAAAGAATATATTTGTATATTCTAACAAGTGGGCCCAACATCAGGGAGAATTGGAGAAATTTCTTATCACATTAACAAAAATTTGGTCGAACGGTAAGTATGCCCTTATTGCCCAGCCTCTTTATGCTGGTCCGTCCTTCTTTCCACCTGTTATTCTTCGTATGACTCATTTTCCAGCCCTAAACAGGAAATTTCAGTGAATTTATAGTGCATTTTTTCCTGTAGTTTTGCTCGACGGCTCTGTTTTTTCAGCCTACCTAAAAACCAATACCGTCATCACCCGGATATAAGACAGTGTTGAATAGAATACAGGGGGTGTCTATTATCCGTGTGTCTTTATAAACGGGGTAGCCTCATTATAAGACACCAATTTGTGTGTACGAGTTAAGCCAGTGTAGGGGTTAGGGGCAATTGTATGACGAGGGGGTATCTTCTAAACGGTTCTTTGTCCATTTATAAGACTTATAAGACACCCTAAACCGTCCCAAATATAAGACAACCCAAGCATTTTTGCCCGTGTACGAGATAAGACATATATGTCTTATATCCGAGCGATGACGGTACCGTAAACCCCCGGATATAAGACCCCTTCCAGTTGTAGACCCCCGGGTCTATAATACGGGGGGGGGGTACTCTATATGGGTCGGTTGTAGTTATACCCCCCTTTTCTAGTGAAATCGTTTTAAGACCCCCCCCATCCCTAGGAACCATGTAGAATTTGCTGGTTTTTATAATAAAATCGAAGCGATTTCAGAGAGAGAACAAAATTTCTCCCTTTCCAATGAAAGCGCGTGGGTATCGCGCAGTCAACTTAGTCAATTTCTGCTATTTTCCAGTGGCGAGAGTGATGCCACCTGGCAAACACTCGAGGGTGAGGACCAGGGCTAATTTTTGGTTTTAAGCAACCCTTATCATCAGTCCTGCACCTTTGCAAAAACCTGATTATCAGTGTGACCCCTTGGGAAAATTATTTTCCATCAGGGTTTTCCGTAGTTACAAAAAAATTACCCTTAATGCCACAGTGTAACAATTTTCAATACCCTGATGAAGTGTTTCTACTGAAGTTCCGAACAAAAACGCAAGCTACAAGACTCGATCCCGAGTCTTCATCCTCCCGAAGCCCCAATCTACAGACCCGGCCACTCCAACATGCGTGTTCCAATAGGTCCTCTGTTTATACTTGTTATTTAGCGGGACAGTAGTGCGAGGGCGAATTGGGGGGGAGGGGGTTAGGGGGGAGAGGGGGGGGTATGGTACTCGCTTCAGGGTAAAACTCGTTATGAAATCGGTAACCCTGAGTCATCAGTGTGCCTTAAATGTAAACCCTGGCATATCAGGAAAAATCTAGCTCCCGAAAAATTTACCCTAGGCCATCAGTGTGACTACCAAAAACCACCCTGATAATCAGGGTATCAGGGTGATTTACACTGATAAAATTTGCCCTGGTGAGGACATTCGCGCCCTCACCCATATTCGAGGCCAAGCTGCAAAGTCAAACTGACACAAATGTACACAACAAACATGTACTAATTCCTTACATACTATAAAAAAACACCATATATTAAGACCCGGGTCTTATAAAATAGGTGACATTTGTGAAGACCCCCCCATTGTTTTGGTGCGATTATGTTAAGACCCTAGGGTCTTATATCCGAGGGTTTACGGTACCTACCGGTATGCGAGATTGGTCGTAGATGCTGCGATCAAAAGTTGATTGTAACCAGGATGACCTCAGGAAGGTTCGCACACAACTGAGTGGTGGTGGTGGGCCCTTGACCTCAAAACATGTCAGAGTATGTTATTTGTGTAGCCTGCAGTGGGGTACTCAATAGTGAGTACAGCCCCTTAGGGTTTGCTATTTGTATCCTGCTGCTTGCTAGTCCAATGATTCCTTTCTCAATTCTGTTTCCGTTTGTTCAACTCTCGATCGTACTTGGCGCCTCCTTCCTAGTCTTAGCTTGGCCTAGGCTACTAAGCCTAGGCCCGTCTGCTTAGTATGTTTGACATGGTATCAGAGGGCGGCGTGTCACTGCCGCCTTCCTGTATGGGCCCACCACCTGCTTCCGCTGCCGTACTGTCCGCCGCGCGCCCCGTGGTGCGCGGCGCAGAAACCCTAATTTCTGCCCGCCGCGCGCTCGAGGCGCGTGGCAGTTTACCCTTCCGTGGCGCCCGTCGTGGTGCCCTTGGGGGGCATGCGCGGTCCCCTCCCGTCGCCCGTCGAGGCGCTCTCGGGGGCCCGCGCGGCCTCTCCTCCCGTCGCCCGTCGTGGCGCTCTCGGGGGCCCGCGCGGCCTCCCCTCCCGTCGCCCGTCGTGGCGACCACGGAGGCCCGCGCGCGGTCCCCTCCCGTCGCCCGTCGAGGCGCACTCGGGGGCCCGCGCGGCCTCCCCTCCCGTCGCCCGTCGTGGCGACCACGGGGGCCCGCGCGCGGTCCCTTCCCGTCGCCCGTCAAGGCGCACTCGGGGGCCCGCGCGGCCTCCCCTCCCGTCGCCCGTCGTGGCGCCCACGGGGGCCCGCGCGCGGTCCCCTCCCGTCGCCCGTCGAGGCGCACTCGGGGGCCCGCGCGGCCTCCCCTCCCGTCGCCCGTCGTGGCGACCACGGGGGCCCGCGCGCGGTCCCCTCCCGTCGCCCGTCGCGGCGGCTTTGGGGGCCCGCGCGGCGCCCTTCCCGTCGCCCGTCGCGGCGGCCCTGGGGGGCCGCGCGGCTCCCTTTCTCGTCGCCCGTCGGGGCGCCCTGGGGGCCGCGCTCCTCCCCCCCCCCTCCCTCCTACCTTTCACCTGCAGCGGCCGCCCCTGGAGCCGCCCGCCACTGCAGCAGCCGCCCCTGGAGCAGCCCGCACCTGCAGCAGCCGCCCCTGGAGCAGCCCGTGCCTGCAGCATCGCCCCAGGACCCGCGCGAGCCGCCCCTGCAGAAGCCCGTCCCGTCCCCCCCCCCCCCCCCCCCCGTGCTGCCCATTGCTCCCATTCCGCCGTGCGTTCCGCGGTGGGGGTGTGGGGTGGCGAGCATGGGGGTGCGAGGTGTGGGTGCTCCCCTTCCCTTTCCCCTCCTCCTTTTTCGTCTCCCACTACTGCAGCTGCTGCTGAGGGGGGCGGAGGTGTGGGAGCCGCGGGGAGTGGAGCTAGGGGGGTGACGTGGGAGTGGAGCTAGGGGTGCAGCAGGGGGTGTGTGGGGGGGGTGCGGGACAGTTGGGGGAGGTTGAGTGGAGGCAGTCGTCTTGTCGTCCGCAGCGCCTGTAGTCCGGAGCCGTCGCGCTCTAGTAGCCCAGCGAGCCTGCTGCGCCAGTCGCCCGTGGGTCCGTTGCTCCTGCCGCTCGTCGTAGCCGCAGAGCCTGTTACTCCTGTAGTCCGGAGCCGTCGTGCTCTCGGTAGCCACTGTGCCAGCTGCTGCTCCTGTTGCCCGTGTGTCTGCAGCTTCAGTCGTCGCCTCCCATCTTCTCTCCTCCCACAGTCCCTCCTCCTCCTCACTTGCCTTCTGTGACTGCCTCTAGCTTTGCTCATAATTGTGAACTATTGCACTGCCTGCTCATTGTGCTGATTACACCCCACTTTGGCTATGGGGGTGTGTCCGAGTATGTTATTTGTGTAGCCTGCAGTGGGGTACTCAATAGTGAGTACAGCCCCTTAGGGTTTGCTATTTGTATCCTGCTGCTTGCTAGTCCAATCATTCCTTTCTCAATTCTGTTTCCGTTTGTTCAACTCTCGATCGTACTTGGCGCCTCCTTCCTAGTCTTAGCTTGGCCTAGGATACTAAGCCTAGGCCCGTCTGCTTAGTATGTTTGACAAAACATAGTGAATGTAAAATGATTGAGATGATTAAAAACATACAAATACAAACATATAAATAAGAGTACAAGGTGGAATACGAAACGACCTAGCTAGCCATGTACTCTAAGGGGTACATTCCCTTATTGCAGCGAAACCCAAGTGCGCGACTCCAGACGGTTACGAACTGCTCGGGCAGAATCCTCGCCAATGCTGCTGCCTGATGCTGTATGCCCTGACGGTCCAGATGTTTCGTAACCGTACGACCCTTCGCGTCATTCCGCCTTTTCGTCTTCAGCCTCGATACTGCATGCTTCGATTGCTACTGTCAGGAGTGCACAGTAACACTTCATCTTTTACTATTCGTAACACCCCCCATCACTCCTGGCCGTAGCAGGTATTGACCCGCTTGACTACTCCGCTGAGTTCGGAGCAGTGCTGGTACTGCTGACGTGACAGTCGCTTCGTGAGGAAGTCAGCTGCCATGTCACCCGTCGGGTAGTAGGTTAAGTCAACCTTGCCCTTGTCAACTTCGTCCTTGACGGAGAAGTACCGCAGCGCAATGTGTTTGGTGCGGTTGACGAACCGAGGTTTGTTCGCGATCCTGGTCGCGCTCTGGTTGTCGCAGTGCAGGCGAAATGTGGGCGAAGATGGAATATTCGCCTCCTGTAGAAGCTCCTGTAGGTAAAGCCCCTCGCGAACTGCTGCTGTTGCGGCGATGAACTCAGCTTCCGCTGATGACAGGGCAGCCAGCTCCTGTTAATGCGAATTCCAGGAGATGGGTCCTGTTGGCTCGAGGCG